TGCTCATCAGCAAAGGCCTCTCATTGGTCCACCACAGTTTTGTTTGTTTTTCTAAATTATTCTTTTCAACCACGATTCAAAGCATCTTCTGATTCCACTACATTATAATTGAGCACATTTTTATTTCTTCTGACTCTTCTCAGTGATCTGAGGGTCTGCTGTGAGTGATGAACACGGGAGCAGTTCATGAGACGATCAATAACCTGATCAGCATGCTGGTTGCTGATGTCGCTGATCAGTTATTGATCAGAGACATTTCATTCAGGAACTTTTCTTGTTTGGGGACTGTTTCAGTAAAAAGTCAAATGTTCTGAGTCATGTGGACAGAAACTGTTGGAGCAGCACCGTCCAGGTCCAGGAGCTGGTTCTGGTTCTGGTTCATCTTTCTACTGTTTGTCACACAAACTCCAGAACATTTCAGTTTTTAAGTCGAGAACTTTTTATAAAAGTTCAAAAGTTACTCAAAAACTATTTTAGTTTATTTTATTATTATTTACATCTGAAACTCCGAAATGTGTCAGAACTCTGTCAGAACTCTTTCAGGAACTTAGAACCTTCTGAACCCTTCAAACTTTTTGTTCTTTTGACTATTTTAGCTTCTCTGGACCATTTTCAGGATTTTAGGAAACAGGAACTTTTTATGACGCTGAACTCTGATTGGCTGTGAGGGCTGATGACTCTCTGCCTGTCTTCCTTCAGGTCCTCAGTTCGTTGGGCTACCATGTGGTGACCTTTGATTACAGAGGTGAGAAACACCTGGACGGCTCGACCACCTGTCTGTGTGTGTGTGTGTGTGTCTGTGTGTGTGTGTGTGTGTGTCTGTGTCTGTGTGTCTGTGTGTTGTTGTTGTGTTGTTGTGTTATTATGTGTGTGTGTGTGTGTGTGCAGGTTGGGGAGACTCAGACGGATCTCCTTCAGAGGGCGCGATGACATCAGACGCTCTCTTCATATATGATTGGCTGAAGAGTCGCCTGAATGAGCAACTTCCTGTTTACATCTGGGGTCACTCTCTGGGGACGGGGTAACACACCACACTGTTCATTTCCTGTAGCACACACCAGGCTTGTGGTCGTCATGGTCACCACATTGTGTGTCTGTTTCCAGGGTGGCCACCAACCTGGTGCGGCGTCTGAGCGACCGAGGTACGACTCAGCAGTTCAGCGTTCACACTGTTAGAACAGAGCTCTCACACATCCAGAACTACAAACATGGCTGCTAGACATGTTTAGCCTGTAGAGTCCCAGCTGTAGCAGCTGCCTGGAGGATTCTGGGTAGTGGAGGCCTGAACAATAACACCACTGACCTGTTTCTGCAGGAAGTCCTCCAGACGCTCTGATCTTAGAGTCTCCGTTCACCAACATCAGAGAAGAAGCCAGGAGCCACCCCTTCTCCATGGTAACACAACACACACTCTGTATATACACCACACACACACACACACACAATAACACAACAACAACACACAGACACACACACACACACACAATAACACAAAAACAACACACACACACACACACTCCTGCAGGTGTGTTCAGGGTGTGTGTGTTTCTCAGGTGTACAGGTACCTGCCCGGCTTTGATTGGTTCTTCCTGGACGCCATCACAGCCAACAACATCCGCTTTGCCAGTGATGAGAAGTGAGTAGCGCCGGCTTTGCTGCTAGAACCCTCAGAAACACTGAGATGCTTCTGAGGAACTTTTTCATGGACTCTGAGCTCCGGGACTTCTTCTGTTTTAGTTTCAGGAGCTCCAGGTGTGTTTCCTTCATGTTCAGGAACTGTTCTCTGCTCCTTCTACCAAACAGGATGTTCGTAGGAGTCATTAGTAACGCTGTCACAACGCTACCAGAACGCTGTCACAATGCTATCAGAACGCTGTCACAGCGCTACCAGAACGCTGTCACAACGCTATCAGAGCGCTGTCACAACNCACAACAACGACACAACAACACAACCACAACAACGACACTACCACAGCAACACTCCGTCTCTGACATCAGTTTAAATTCTGTTGTTTACTGATGATTTTGTTGTGATAAACTTTATTTAAACAGTTTTTACTGAAATACGAATAAATCAAAATGTGAAATGACTTCATTTTGTTTGTTTGTTTGTTTGTTTCAGGCACACGGTTCCTGCCCGGATGTGGAAGGAAGCTCAGGGTAAAGCAGGCGATTGGTACGAGTCCACGTTTAGCTCCGCCCACCCTGTCATACTCTATCTCCATGGAAACGCAGGAACCAGGTGACCTCACACACACAGAAACACACCTGAGCTGCTCTGAGAACCTGTCTGACGCCGCTGTTTCTGTGCAGGGGAGGAGACCACCGGGTGCAGCTGTACAAGGTGATCCACCGATCAATATCAGCCGATCGCAGATCAATACTAGCCAATCACTGCCATCAGGTGTTCCTGTAGCTCTCAGTCAGACTTCTGCACCTGTTGACAGGTTTTCTGGTCCACTGCTCATCAGCAAAGGCCTCTCATTGG